TCAGCCTGACGCTGCGTTAACTCTTGCTTAGACAAGGACTAGGCTACTGTGCACGTAAAAAAAATTTATAAAGCTGTGCACGTAAAGCTACATACTGTAGACTTGTAAGTCGTCCTGCTGTGCTCAGTTTCGGCGGCTTGGATTAACTAAGTTTTATTCATTATTTACTTCAGTGCCAAGCTTTATTAAGATAGTGGAATAATCGTGCTATCTGACAAATTGAGTTCTCTCGCTGCTATGTGTTTTCACAGGTACTAGTCTTGGTAGCATACGTGGATGGTTATTGTGAAGGGCGTCCGGGCACATGCCCTCCTAGTAAATTTTATTTGACCTGCTGGATTAGAACATAAAGAACCTATAAAAATACTACCTCCATACTAAAAAATTATGCATTTAAATATTCAAAAATTGTGACCAAATATAAGGGATCTTGGAGGATAAGAGATAGTTTTGCATTAAGCGGTAGCACAAATTTGATAGATAATATATCTTATCATTTATCGACTAATCTCTATTATAGCGTTTGAACAAAAAATGAAATAAGGATTTCTTTATAATTTGTTCTTAAATTTCTAAAATACACTATATTACATAACGGAATGGATAGGTGAGCGGAGCATGGTCTAAATACCTTTGTATTGTATTGAATGGCCATACTCATTCATGTGTGGATGTGGGAGGCTGAAATACTTTTTATTCTTGAATCTAAAAAATGTGCTGCTACGATGTGATGGCAAATCAGCTAATTACTCATTTTTGTCTCTTGTTCGTCCTTTTTTTTGTTGAATTGCCAACCAGAGCAATCCTACCAATGATGCTTTTTTAATTAGGTTTTTCATTGCATGCTGAAAAATCACCTAGAGGTTTGAGAATGATGTACCTAATGTGAGAACTAAATATAGTATAAGCTAGCATGACTGTAACTAGAGTGAATAAGCAGTGGTCATGTAGGTGGGCGGGAGCATCGTTGGAGGCTAGGGTTCTAGCTAGATCTTATCGTCGAGGACAGATCAATTACTTGCAAAAGCGTGAAGTGTTGTTGTCCTAGTTGTCTGCCACATGCCACATGCCACTGCCCATGTCCCTAGTGCCCACTCCCATCGCTAAGGGTAAGCTAGGCAGGTCTAAGTAGCTAGATCTTATCGCCGAGGACAAATCAATTACTAGATACCACCGCTGTAGACACACGGACCTCTGGTGCTGGCATGGATCTGTCTAGCTTGGTGCAAGATAATAGATAGAGCTCCATCATTTTTTAGCTTCGTATTAGTCTTCGAGCGACGGTCACATCCATAGACCATATTATCAACCACACAAAGGATGCTCAGCCTTGTCCGATCATCAAATGGTGTTGTTACTACTTACTAGTCACCTAATAATGCTCTGCTCTTGGGTGTAGATGTATGTATGGTAGTTCATGATTGCATCTTTTCACTATGCATGGATGTATGTGCATACATAATACATGGGAAACATAGGCGAATATGAGAGGAAGCATAAGTAGAAGCCGCAATCACGAGGAATGCGTGTCTCAGTCACCATGATCAGGAGAGCGCCGCCACGACCTTGTTTTGTCTTGAAAATTGGCCGTTGGAGTCAGTGAAACAATCTTTTCACCTTTTGATATCACAACTATCTAATGATCATATATGAAAAAGAGCGAAGAAGCAAATTACAACCTAATAACAACTGGGCTGATCTAAGCTGTCTCAACTAACTTTAGATAACGGAATAAAGTTCCAGCCTCTACCATCAAAGGATGATACACAACTGATTGTCGGTACAAACCAAGGCCACAAGGCACACACTCTCACGTCCAAGAGACATAAAGAAACACACAGTTCAACTCGACTAGGAACAGGGGTAACAACAAAAAGAACTAGGCTTCAATGCGAAGTTCCACCCAAACTTCGCAAAGACGGCCGTTGTCCTCCACCATATGCAGCACAAACATAGTACATGGCTGGTGTCACGGGGTCGGAACCGCAACAAGCATTGTTGTTCAAGTCGGTGTCAGAGTACGTGTCTTCGGTGACTCGGGTGGACTCAAGAACACAAGAATCACAGAGAGGACGCAATGGTTTATCGTAGTTCGGGCCAATCAGTGCCCTACGTCCAGCAGCTGATGATCCATATACTTAAGAGCATCCAAAATCGGGGGTTACAACAGAGTGTACAGGAGAAAGAGAGATTTGGTAGGGGATTAGCTCGGTGCTAATCCTGAGGTTGCCTCGCCGCCGGTGGAGCCTTCCCCTTGTCAGAGAGGAGGAAGACGACGGGTGCGATGGAGGAGCTCTCGGTGCCCCACTCTAGGTTGCTCTGCTCTTGGTGCTGAACAGGAGCATATCGATCAGGAATGGAATGATCTGTCTGGGATCATCATCTCCCCTCTAGGATCCGACCTTACCCCTTATATATCGAGATATGTCGGGTACATGGCGGTTTGGGGGGTTGAGCCTTTGGTCTACATGCGTCGGAGTCCAGGAGGGTCTTCTAGCAGTGCTTTATGGACCGTGGCGATGTCGTGGAGCCGAAAAAGCCTTGGGCATCGTCCCGACCGGCCTGTTTGATACACTGAGTGTCAGGCTATGTCGGCTTGGATCGGCCTCCCCCAGGCGCACCTTCTGGAGTCTTCTTGGTGGCGAGGAAGATTGGCTCGAGGGGCTGACGCGCGGGGCCGGAAGCCCCAGAGCCCCCAGAGGGCGAGGAGAGCTTGTCTTCTTGTGTCACGCCCCGTGCGTGACCTTGTCGGGGGAGCGGCCGGCAAGGCCGCACCCAAAGTGCTGCCTCGAGGAGCCCCCGAGCCTTTGATGGCTCGGGACGTGTCTTCTTGTGCCCAGGTGACGAGATCCTAACATTTGGGTATGTTAAGCCTTTGGGATCAATTGTTTTCGACCGAAGGGACCTCCGACCGACCCCTCCAGGATCGCTCGAGGCTCAGGGGCTATACCCATCGGGTACGCTCGCACGCACCCTCTGACCAATAAACCTGACCAAGCCTGGGCACGGTGCGGCCCACGCACAGGGCTCGGGGGCTTGCCCGGGCCTCAGGCTCCCGACCGACGACACGTCCGAGCACGGGCCTTGGCTCCTGCCTGGCTTGCGACACCAGTCAAGGCCCGGGCGCAAGAAGACAAGCCCTTTGTATGCAAAAATTTACATGGAGCCAATTGTATGCAAAAATTTGGCCAGATACCTCCTTTTGTTTTATAGATACCTTGTTATACCATGAACAATGTATGGTACTGATAACGTTTCATGGGTGTGCCTTGTGCAATTTTAGACTAGACAGGGTGACTAATGTGCAGAATTGATAATGTTTCATGGGGGTGCCTCTACTTTTTCTACTATCATCGTTTTCATGATTTATACTACAGAAAGAATGTTTTTAATATTGGGGTGAACTTGACATGTCTGGTGGATAGCGACCATTGTTGTGTCGTGATGCACGAGAGATGTTGGACGGCAGAGAGAAGATTCCATCATGGACTTCAGGACTCCGACTGTTGCATCATCTGCGATCAGGCGACGGAGACGATGCATCATCTTCTGCATGGTTGCATCTTCAGTAGAGAGGTCTGGGCGATTTGGCTCAGGAAGCTGCGCCTCGATGAAAGCATGGCCTTCAGGATGAGCACGCCTTGCAGTGATGGCTTCGCTGCAGAAAGCTTATCCCTAAGGGCCTGTTCGGTTCCTGGGGTTCTGAGGTCAGGAACTGTTCCGGCTAGAAACACTTATCTAATTTATATACGCTGCTCTCGACCAGGATCTATTCCTACCCAGAACCACCCTAAAGGTCCGTTCGTTTGAGGCAGATTGACACCAGGAATTGTTCCAGTCAATAAAAGCTTATGTAAATTGACTAACGATTCCGGCCGTAATTCTTCCTGGCGATCGTTCCGGAGGAAACGAACGAGCCCTAAACGAACGCGCCCTAAGCAAGTGGGTCGCTTCGATTCCCCTGCGAGTGCCGATCTGCTGATCTGCTACCACTAAAATACTAGCTAAAACAAATCCGATCCGAGACACTTGTGACTTGTCTTATCTGAAACAATTACGTGAACCGCGTGGGCGACGACCTCTCAAAATTAAAAATGTGCTGCCATTCTGCAACAATGGTTGCTCGACAAGCAGTGCTACTGTGCTAGATGAGACACGTGCCGTGTTGCTTCGCGTAATGAAAAGCTCTTTTTGAAAACAAAATTGAAAAAAGAAGCTCTTGAAATGATCTTTCGTAGTATTTCTTTAAAAATGTAGTATATCATCTATTTTTATAGAGAGAATTGTAGTTCACAAAATGCTAACGGCAAAAGCCATGGACATGGAATCATCGGAAGCAACAAAAACCAGCTGTCCACTTGTCCAGGCGCCCACCTCACGAGGCCACACGCCCCGAGGACCGATCCGACGGCCACCCTCAAATCCCGCACGCATCTTGAGGCGCCCGCGTTCGCGTACATGGCCATCCAGCTCAGCACCGCACGGGCTCCCACCACCGCCGACGCCCGGGCCCCACGTGCCCCATCCCGCATTACCGCACGTCCCACCGGCCCAACTACCCCCACCGCCGCGTGGGTCCATCCTCTCGCGGGCCCACGGTACAGTGACCGCTCCGGCACGCCTCCGCGCCGCCCCCATCCCGCCGTTACTCCGCGCCCGGCCCGATGCCCGTTTGACCCTCCTCTTCCAGGCGTGCTGAGGTGTGGTGAGGTGACTCGTTCTCCGCTTCTCTCCTCTCGGTTCGTTTGGCCGCAAGTGAGCGCAGCGCAGCGGCCGCGTCGTCGTCTTCCTCGTCGCGATCACCGGTCAAATCCAAGCCAATTCGTTACCGCCAGGGCTCCGATTCACCACCACCACCCCACCCCACCTCTTCTACTGCCGCCGATATCCCCAGCCCGGCACGCGCTGGGCGGGGAGCAGCAGCTGAACACCACCCCCCGCCGCTGTCCGCGACGGCCCCGACGTACGGGGCGCTGAAGCGGCCTCCCCGGCTCCTCCCAATGGCGCGGATCCAGCCTGTAAGTCGCTCCGTGCCGCCGTGCTTGTGCGTTCGGAATTTCGTGGTGGTTTGTTGGGGTTTGGGCCGCTCGAATTGGCTGGTGCGGTTCGGAGCGGGGATGGTCGACGCTGTCATGCTTCGTGGCTGTAGCTTGAGGGTTTTGCTTGCCGTTCTGGAGGATCGAGGTGGACGCGCGGAATCCGGTGGCTTCATTGCTTCTGAGCGTGCTCTGCTTTTGGTGCGGGAGGGCGTGGGGTTTTGGGGCGGAGAGGAGCAGCACCGGGGTGAATTGCTCTGCTCAGCTTGCAGTGTCCAGTACTTCACTGCTGTTGGTTACTTCGGCACGTTTTTACCGCGGCTGGTTGTGGCCGTGGCTGAGTGAGAGAGGAATGGAATAATTGTCTGGTACTGGTGTTCTGTTCCCGTCCTGCAATCCTATTACTTCTCATCTGTCACCAGAGTTCCTCTGCTCTGCATTAGCTCTACTGGATGGTAAAGGATTTGGTATTTAATAGACTTATGACAAATACTGCCGGTTAGTGAATTTGAGAACAGTGATGCATTTCAGTTGCTACTTGCTAGTTATTATTACGCTAATCCTGGAGCAATGTTACAGATAGTATGTCACGCAAGTTTTACATCTGTTGCATATTCAACTATAATTCAACATCGCTTAAACATTCAACATCAGGTTGTGCATTTTTGGTTGTTTCGCTGAAGCATGGATCATAATAAGTGTTCTGTTTTTTCTTTGGTAAGGTACCTTATTTTTTTTGGATAATGAATAAGGTAACTTATAACATGTCAGCAAAAAAAAGGTACAGAAAAATGGTAACATGCCTAGTTGACTCGTTCATGTTGTTAAGGTCTAGTTGAGGCATCATTCCATCATCGGCATTTTTCTAATCCCATTTGACTTTGTGACTGTTGGAGGTACAGAGTGTTTTACTCAGCCAGGGATTATACACCCAGGCGACTGCTCTTTCATATATAGGAGATAAGTAGCACATTGATTACATTGATGGCTCATTAGAGCATTAACTAAACAGCTAACTGCCTGGGTACTTGCACAGTCACTTGTGCTGCCCAAGGCCTTAATAGCAGAAACATAAATAAGCACAGATAACGAAGTGATAACTGGGAGCAGGACTTAACTTCTACAGTGACTTAATCCATGATTAGTTATTGTGTGCCTGTGCCTTACTTTCACATAGATTTACTTATTTCCATAATTCCATTTACAATGTTAGTAACGAACCACCTCTGGTAGATCTATTGGGTATCTACTATCATGAACTATTTTCTTTTAACCAAGAGAGAAACTTGCATGGTTAAGTTACTAATCTCATTTCCTATGAAATCAAGTATATCTTGTTTTCATGAGAGGCATCAAATTTATTTGCCTCAGTTTGTACATTCATATTAGAGTTGGCGTTCTAAGTTTACTATCGACTGACAAATCTTAAACAATAAATGTTGCAGGTGGTGGATGAAAGAATGGATCCCTTTCTTGGTAGATTGACTAGACCGGCCACCATTAACCAATCCTGGTGTACTGCTCAGAGTGGCCTGTCCTTGTTCAACGGGCCTTTTAACGAGTTCAAGGATGCAATTGTGCTGTCGTCAGGTTTGTTGTCCCACAATTGCTGCTCTGATGTCGCAAACAACTTTGAAGAATTTGCAACTGTAGTTTCAAGGTTACATCAGCACCTTCTGGATGCAAATGTAGAAGTTTCTTATACAGAATACTTAGATTTGATGAAAGTGGAAGTTGATCAACAGCTTAATAAGCTCTCCGAGGACATAAGGGTCTTCAAAAGCTATAACTTGGCTCACAAATCTGATGCAAATGGTTCATGCTGTACAGTATGCCATGTTGGGAAGCTAGCTGAGATAGATGATGGGTTCAACAGCTTGAAGTTCCTGCTGGTTGTGGTGTTCCGACAAATTAGAGAGATGCTCACAGTGGTCATTTCTTCAATCAATGATCTTCAGTGGGAGCATGAGTTACAGTTAGAAGTTACCGGCATTATTATTGGAGACTGTGTTAGAGGTCTTCGGGGTGAACTCGAGAGGAAACTGTATGAGCACAGTTCCATGGTGAACAGTCTAAGAAAAAACTGGCAGGAAACTGTGGCGCAGTGTGCTTCCATACGTGAAGACCTGATTGCTATTTCTAATATTCTGTTACCTTCTGAAGAGGAACCACAAATTTCCCTCTGTAGGCATGAAAGTTTGGGTAACTGGAGCGACAGATGGAAGTTCAGATTTTTCAGAAAGCGAACACACCAGGATCACTCTCTGTCTTCCGGGGAAAGCCAGAATTCTGCAACACAGAAATCTATAAGTCCCAGTGAAGTTATATCAGAAAGATCTGACTTCCGACATCTGAAGGGCATGACTAGACAAGAAATGCTTAACTATTTCAGATCCGAGATCAGTAAATTAAAAAGGCTGCATGAGTTGGATTTGCAAGAGAAAACAGAAGAGCTGTTCAAATTCAAACGAGAGAAATGGTCATTGGCTCTTAAATATGATGTAGAATTTGAGCCTTTAAGGAGGAAATTCCCTGAGGTCATTTCAAGATTTGACCAAATCATGTCCAATGGAATGGCAGCAGCAGCACCTACAATCTGCAGTAACAGTGATGCACTTGATGAAAGGAGCAAATTGAACAGTAGCATTGATTTGCTATACCGTGAAAACCAGCATCTTCGGTGTTTGCTTGCAGAGAAGACAAAGAATATTCAGGAATTATCGAGCCAAATATCTGATGCCACCAGGAAAATGTCACTTCAATATTCATTAGAAAAACAACTTTTGAGACAAATCAACAGCACTAAAGTAGAATATGAGGATCTTTTCGTTGAAAGTACTATCAGAGATGAAATTTACCAAACTGTTACGAGAAAATTGGTTGGTAGTCATAGGAATGCCTTGGAGGATACTGCGCAAAGTTTCCGTGCAAAAGTGTCCTCACTTGAAGCCACGCTCTCAGAAAAGGGCAAGGCATTGTGTTTATCTAATGAAGAAAACCAGAAGCTAAAGGAAAAGTTGTCAATGCTAGAAAAAGAGCATTCCATCCAAAATAACCAGCAAGATCTAGAGCTAATCAAGCAAGACAGTGAGGAAATGATTCTCCGTGATATTGAGATGGAGCCACAAAGATCATGTGAGATTTCTGATCCAGATATACAGTATGAAGAGCTCATCAAGCTGAATCAGGTTTTAGAAATTGCCTCAACCACCGTAAAGGAAATGGAAACAAAAAGGTTGAATCACAGTGATATCCTAGGTAAAAGAGAGCAAGAAAAACAGCTTGATTGCATCCTGGTATCTATCATGGATTTGTCAAAAGAATTTGTGGAGATTGAACATAGAATGCCAGAAGATATAAAAGGAAACGAGAAAAAGTATGCGCATCTAGCACCCCCCTTCTGAAAACTATTGCACGCCCTTTTTCTTTTTGCTTTCAGAATGCAAAATAAAATATTTCAGCATGTTTTTTTATGACTGTGGTATGACTATTGACTTCTTTTTTTTAGAACTTGGCTTGTGTGTTTAGGTTGGATGCAAAATAGTGCTTGTAAAAATCCTTTGTGTTGTCGAATAATCCATACTCTTGATGCTAGCACAAACTGATAAAAGATTGTTGTTGCATTCAGGACTGAAAATCTGAATGATCGATGCAACCATATGGTACAACAGGCCATCGTACTGACAAAGAAGGGCCTGTGGTATAAGCAAATGCTTGACACAAGATGTTCTGAGCTTCGAAAAGCTGAATCTGAGGTATGTTTTCCATATGTGCTCAAATTATTTACTTCTTTGTACTTTTTTTTTTTTTTTTTTGCTTACAGTCCAGCACAAAGTGATTTCTCTCTGTTTGACATGCATGCAAATATTCAAGGATCTCATCCAAGGCTCATGCTCATTCATGTGTCAAATAGCTGCATTTAGGAGTTTAAGACTGCAAACAATGAAGTTTGAGCAAGATAGAATACTCCTTTTTGTTTCTGGAACACGTAGGATAACTGCATATCATTATATTAAGAAGACAAAGGCTTTAGAACCTGTACACATTAGAACCCACTCACACCATAAAGACAGAATACTCTCAGCTCTGCTTATTTTTAGAAACAGATCAGATCAATTTGAGTAATCTGCTAGGTGCATTGAATTTATTTGGTCCATTATGTGCCTTTTTCATTTCTGTAGTAAAGTGCACATTATAAAGTAATTCTCATAGATGTTTAGGCAGGATGTTCATTCATTATCTTTTTAATCAGCATGGTAATTTTAATTGAAAAGCAAGATGATGTCAATTAGATATTCTGATAGCATGCAAGTGAGTCACTGTTGATTTGAACCCTTCTGCTTTGATATTTATCCCTGATCGGTTGTTGTTGGACTATGCTTCTATTAGACTACAAGAACACATGTTGTTTCAAATTAACATCGCAACTTGTTTAAATGCTTTGTTCTGTTTTATTTAGGTCGACATTATGGGAGACAAGGTTAATGCACTCTTGAGTCTTGTTCAAAAGATATCCGTAACTCTTGAGCACTACTCTCCTGTTTTTCAGCATCATCCTGTGGTAATTCTCTCAAGTGTCAATATTTTAATTTCTCCTATCTTCCCTAGTTCTTAATCATTCGACTGGTGCTTCTTTACATGTGAAGTGCCTTTTTTTTAAAACAAAAACTTTGCAACTGTATTTTATTTTGTATTTTCTCTATTATACCTGAGAACTCACAATATGATTCTTCTGTTCATATTGAGATGCTTGTACGTGGTCTCTTATGATGATTCATTCATATCAGAAGGGCAGAGTATAATTCATAATTGATGCTGTGCATGCAGCTATTGGATGCTTTCTTGAAGACATGCAAACTTGTTGCAGGTATAAGAAGCAGACAAAAGAGGACTTACAAGATACAACATAAGTTGGAGCAGCAAGGTGAGCTGGTACTTTCTTATCAATCACTATATGAATACCTTCAAGCTGTATTTTTCATAGAAGCAAGGCTCCAACCCAGTTGGATGCATTTCTGATATTGCCAAATGTTCATGAAAAATTATTGTGATGTGAACTCCTATATTTTGATACCACAACACTACCTTGTACCTGTACTTTTGCTAAACATCCATTACAAATTATATGCAAAAGTTATATTCATTCATATTCATACCACATTGTGATTACATAACTCTTCTTAGAGGAAAGCAAAAGCAGTTACTTGTAACCACCGATGAAGGTGTGGCATCCTACTTCTGGTGGGTTTGGTCTGAGTAGTTTAACCAATAAGCTACCTAAAAATCCCATATGCTACTCTATATTTAATTACTGATGTGGCATTGTATTGTCATCACATTGATGAAATCCTCCATCAAGAATATGCACATGCCACAAAATGTATGTGCATATATGACTCACAACCTCAGACATGCATATATGCTACTCTTTCAACACTATGCTTGATTGAATGTTTTATGTTTCCTTTAGAGCAGATTATTTTTTTTATGAAGTGCGATGACTGATTATTTCCTTATTGGGGATTTTAGTTTAGAGTGGCTTAAGGGACATGAGAGAGATTAATTTCATGGTGGAGGAACAGCATACCATTGCAAGGCTATGAAATTGATCCGTGGCCAAATTAACACCGCAAATCTGCAGCCAGAAAAAAGCTGAGGTAGTCCATTCGACTGAATTTTGAAACCTAGGGTATGCATTTCAAGGGCATTGAGCTGTAATATATTTCTAAACTGTAGCAATGCATTTTTCTAAACATCATTTGGTAATGGATGCAGTTATACTGTCGCTGCTCACTCTGCAGATGATCGGATTCACGTCCTGTATGATGTATGTAGAAGTGAATACACCTTCTAATGTACAAATTATGATAGTTCAAATTCTGTGAGGGTGATCGCATTTTTTCGGGCAGCCTACATAGATATAACTTAGCTGTTATACAAGCTCTAGTCATATTGTAAGCATAGTAACTTATAAATTTTGGTGTCCTGGTTTGTACTAATGGTCTTGTAAACCTGTACAGATCTTATGTACAACATTTGTCCATTTTCGAGGAAACAAACCTTTCTAGGGCAATGAAATAGATTTTGTATACATAGTTATCTCAAGTTGCTTGATCTATATTTATGATTAAAACTTCATTAGTAGTTTCTTTAAAAGAAATTGAAATTCCATAGTGATTGAGCATTTGAGTGATGTATGCATGGCTGATTGCTATAACTTACTGTTGCCATTGCTTGGTTGTTTGCATGAGCAGCAGATGACAGAAACTGTGGTAAGTGGAGTTACTTTTGCTTGCTATCATGCTTGCTATCACAGATTTGATGACTATTTCAAATTTCACCAGAACAAATCACGTATATTGACACACATTTTCTTTCTGTTATTCTATTTTTATCGAAAGAAACTACCACTAAATCAAATTCCTTGTTGTAAACCTTTCTTTTTCGAGAAGATTACAACCTTTTCAAGCAATCTGTTACAGCAAATGCAAAAGGCTAGGTGATGATTCAGCACTAAAACATGATATACAATAATTTGTAGGATGTTTCATTATTGAACAGTTCTAATATCACCATCTAATTCGCTTGCTATAGCATTCCAGGCTAATAAAGCTGCACCAACAGCTGGCTCCACCTGCAGGTACAAGCAGATACAGACCTCATAAATACTAATTTGGCAAATTTTGTAGTAGGATCTGAGCATGTATCAGTTTGTAAACTGTCTATATCCGATATTGTTCAAGCATATACACAGCTCAGTTTTTTGCTTCCCCACTAAATCTTCTCTGAGATATTTGTTTCCACTATTCAGCTAATTAGTTCTTGAAGATTGCTAATCTGAAGAATATTTGTTATATTCTGCTCACCTTGGGATGTATTGGATAGGCACCTGGGTAATTCTTGGTAACACAATCGATCACTTCTTTCCCAATGTCCCACCTTTTGTTTGCCTCAAGAACTTTACCAACCATAACAAGTGGAAATGGATGCTTGCCATCTGCGAAGTAGAAACATCTTAAGAAATTCTTCCATGAGGCCTTCTAGTAAATGCAACTTTGACGGTCTTGTTTAGTTCTATATAACAACTGTTTTCTTTACCAAAAGTCATTTTTTTATAATGAGATAACTCTATTATTAGATATATATGCAAACTATACATGTATTTCAAGGGGCAAAAAATCAGAGAGGATTCTTGTGTCACCTTCACCGCCAAGGTCAAGCCTTTGCACTACAGCCTTGACACTGGAAGCTAGTTCCCCAACTGAATTGTGTAGGATCTTGTTTGCCACCTCATCACCACTTTCAGCTGATTCTACCACAACTGGAAGAAGGTCAGCGATACGAGCCCATGATTGGTCTTCATATGTCCATCTGTTGTCAGAACAATGAACAGGTAAGTAGAAGTTGTCACTTGTACCTTGTAACAAAATGGTTATCGTAACTTGACAAGTTTTTATCGACTTACCAATCCTAGACTATGGAATATGCTCCTCTACTTAAAATAGGGCCAGTCAGTACTCAAACTAGATTGATCTCTTAATCCGTTTGGTGAAACTGCGCTGTAGAAGTGTTTAGATTTGTTTGTTGAACTATTTTCAGGTTGGTCTTTCTATGTAAAGCTGAAACAGTAAATTCAGCGAGCGAAGATGGATTACCCTATCAATTCGTCTGGCGATGCCAGTCCAAGGAAGTCAAGCATGTTGTTTGTAAGCACCGTTTCAGGGCCCCGGCCATCATAAGCTCTCACCACTGCTGTCAATGCCTGGGCAGAAATCCCATATCCACTGCATGTGAGATGCCATGTAAACCGGTCAAACAAATCCACCAATGGCAGCCACATTGACATAGACTATATATATGAACCAGCTTCCACTAACTGATTCAATTCTCTTGTATTAAAGTTACTGTCATGGATTAGAAAACATAGTCCTTTTTGACTAACCTGCCCCAATCACCTAGAACCGGCCCTGCACCTGCTGCTCGGGCTTCCCTGCCATCACTGGTGAACCCATAAGCTATGGTCCCTGTCCCTGCGATCAGCACGCATCCGTGCAGCTTGCCCATGGTTCCACTGGCCAACGCCGCCACCGCATCGTTCTCCACGAACAGCTTGACATGGCTTGGAAATATGTCCCTGAAAAAGAGTGTTTGCCTGCACTCAGTCGGAGAGGAACTTAACTGAAAAATAGACTGCAGTTTCAGTTGACAACTGTCTGAATTATAATGTTTTGCTAAATTGGGTATATATATATATATATATATATATATATATATATATATATATACTAGACTGACCTGAGCCAATCCAGCATTCTCTGCTGATCGATCGGATGGTTGACGCCTGCTACGGCCAAGCAGACGGCGCAGACATTTGATCGTCGCCGGCGCGCCTTGAGCAGCGCCTGTGACATCACTCTCTCCAGTGTCTCCCTTGCCCTGTCCTCTGAACAATCGGAACAAGAAAAGTAAACAACAGCTTCTTTTAGTACTTTTACAAATTTTTTTATTTTAACCAGCAGGAAAATCCCACAGGATCGTTTACTGGTTTGTTATCCATCTCGATCATTACTCGTCACTGCAGGAAACTTGTGCAGAGCATGGCGCTGCGATCGTTGAGCGAGTCCAGGTGGTGTTACCTCCAACGGGTTGTGGTTGGAGCAGCCGGCGACGGTGCGGGAGAGGACCGGGAGCGGGTCGTTGAAGGGCATGGCGGCGGGGATGCAGACGCAGACGGTGTTGCTGGCGCCGCCGTCGACGCCGAGGATGACGCTGCCCATGCGCGGGCTCTGGCACTCGTCCACGTCCCACATGTCCCGCCCGTGTGCCGCTGCATCTCGATCCCTCTCTGCCTACACACTGGAAAAGGAAGAGAGGGGACCCTCGAGAAGGAGGAGAAGAAGAAGAATCTTCTCCGGCCAGGCCACCAACTGCTCTGCTAGTATGCAGCTGAGGTGAGCTTTTGCTCCATATATATGTACGTATTAGGTCGCCGTGGATGTCTAGCCGAGGCGAAAGGGACGGGGAGGAGGAAGACGACGGAGGGACCGCGGGGGGAAATTCGGAGGGCGGCTGTCCGCACGCGCGTGCTGTGTCCAATGCCGCGACGGCAGAGTTGTTTACTTGGCTGTGCCGGAGGAGGGCCTCTGCAGTCTGCTTGCGTTTGTTGGTTTGCACGTCACTTGGTGGCAGGAGAAAGAGAGAGCGCCGCTCCGTTCCGTCTGGGCTCGTGTTACGCGCTGATGTTACTGACAGCACTGGTAAGAACTCCGGACCTTAGTTTACTGAGCACTTTTGTGTGTATCTACTGCAGGTCTTGTACTTTGTATGTTTGCCAGCTGCCTTCTCTTGATCACACGTGTGGTGTGGAGATATTGCACTAGGTGCTGCGGGCAGGTCCATGGTAAAAAAACAACGGACGTCCATGGCAAACAGGTCAAATTCTACCTCTAGCTGTTGCCTCCACCTGGGATTAACTTAAGTTTATTCCCAGCTCCCCTGTTGGTTTTCACATGGATGGTTATGCAGGTCAGATCCCCTTCTCTGAAACCTGCCACTGCTACAGTCTTGCACTCAGCTGAGAGTTTTGTGCTCCTTCAGTTTACTTGGACTCAGATAAGATGACATGCGTTTCGTTGTCACCGTAGTGTAAAGTACTACAGACCATTGGTGCTCCAAATGTCAAGCGTCTGCAGGTGGATTCAACGCCCGTTTACTCTTGTTACGCCATGGGTCTGTTTGGTGGTCCGATCGACACACGCTGGCTGCCACCGGTGACAGGACAAAATCCTCCCTGCCCTACCACGCTCAGCACGGGCCCCTTTCATCACAATTATATTAGTATCTATTATTACATCTACACGAAATATGCTCGATTCGCACTATGATAAGCCTGCGTCGTTGTCGCCCCCGTCGTTTTGTTCGATTCGATCCCCCTGAATGCCTCTTCTCCTGCCATATGGCTTGTTCCTGGTGAGGATGAGCTACACGACGTTTAGAAGCAGGCAAGGGACCCTGCAGGTGACATCGGGAGACCCCAAACGACCAAGGGGAAGGAAGGAAACGTGTCTAGCGCAATCTGGGGAAGTAGTTGATCCCAAATCTTTGCGGTTTGTTTTGGATGTGCGTCCACGACCTGATGTTGATCCAAATGGCTCCATCGCTGACACACGATTCCTCGTTCGGTCTCGTGCTGCCATCTTTCCAATCGGCAGTTCTTCCTAAAAAAACCCTCCATCGGTTCTTCATTACCTCATGATAGACTACTAAACGAGTAAACGACCCATACCAGCGTGCTATTATTTTTGCCAGCGACTTGCACAGCCCAGCTAGACACACTAACAAGGCCCATCAAACACTTGCTGCCGCCCGTGGTAGGTCAGAACTAATTTTGGATAGGAATTTTGGAGCAAAATAAGCGTGTTTTCGTTTCCTTTGTGTCTTAGGAATCCTATACGATCTTGCTGTTGTCTTTTTCTTGCATTCTAGATTCTTATAGAATTTCTTTTTTTTTTGCGAAGGGAAGTGGGACTTATATTAAATCTTGGCACAGTACATCCCTAAATTATACATGAAAAAATCTAAAATAAAAATATATAATATTCTATCTAGATTCTCCCATCGTTTTCTTCCCCAATGGCTTCCCTCGAACGCCGGAGCCAAAGTGAAGTCTTTATGCCGAATCCAACGACCAACCCCAAAACATTAGACATGCCACGATATCTAACGTTTTTGAAACCAGTCCGAAACGCATCTAAATTACTGAAAGAATATCGACAGTTGCATCGTCGGTTACGACATAGGCTACAAAATCATCACCTGGAGACCTTGAATTCCTCTCCGTGACCATCAACGATAAGATCGATGACCTGGAGTCGTTGTCCTCGTAGGGGGCTCCCAGAAGCACCCCTCCCCCTTACAGATAAAGGCCACAAATTGGCCGCCTGCAAATGAAATCAACGCCTGCAATGGCGATCTCGTCGTCACAATCACCGAAGTCATCGTAGAACATATGATCCCGACCAAAAATCATCTGATTTCTCTGAAAGATTTATTAGACTAAACCCTAATCAACTAGATAGAAAAACTACGGGAAAAAAGGATGGGTCCCCTCTCCTTCTTGTCCCTGGCAGACGCACCGGAGAGGAAGAAGGAGAGGGGCCCTATGTATGGCAGCGGCGGAGCGAGGAGGGGTGGCGACGGCTCTACCTAGGCGGTGGCGACGGCTCTATACGAGGCGTACCCCTTCGTTATCGAGCGGCTCTTACCAGATGATGAAATGTTAAACATGATTCTTATAGAATTTCAATTGTATAGGCATTTCGATCCTATGTTTTTCCTATTTTTGAATTTTAATAGTCCTATATGTTTTAAAGAGGGACTTAGTAAAAGGCCTGTTTGAAGTCAATCTTTCTAATTTTTATATATAGTTGCTATCTATTACCAATACTAGATAAATGCACGTGCGTTGCACCGGGGTCATTATTTTTTTACACGTCTACGACGACAGATTTGATTACGACAAAGTCCTTGCAATGGGGTCATGTGTTATTTGTACATGCCTAGGGCGACAGATTTGACCACGACAAGCACCAGCAGTTGAGTAGTCCTTGCAGTTGCTGCAGCCACTTTCTTCATCCTGGAAAACGCATGGCACGCGCACGCCGCAGACTCCCATCACCGGTAACCATTTGTAAAAAATATTTTATAGAGACCTTCAATGTCTTACAACTCAATGATAAACTAAGTTTAATGAAGAACTTAGTCATACTGCATCCAAAGAACTTGAAATTTTTGGTACAGAATCAACCATGCTTACCACCAAAATTTTGTAGCATTTGGACTACACAAACTGCAATTATGAATCAAACACTGAAAATCATAGATTTAAATACACTTCTAAATTAAATCAATTAAACTATGTCAATGCTATATTAAACTATGTCAATGCCATATTATATATGTACTGCATATAACTACTCAAGAGGAGTTCAACACAACTTGATTTTCTATTTTATGATTTTTCGGTGATTTTCTATGCATTTTGGAAGTTCTGCCGGAATTTTGCATCTGGAACCCTGGCAAAAGTTTCTAATTCCTTTTCCTCCTTCAACCTACAAAGTAACGCAGAGCATGGAACTGGAACGAGCGCTGTCAGGAGGGCCGGCCCGGTGCGGCGGTGGGGCAGGCTGGAGAGGAGGCAGGGGAGGTGAGTCCAATCTATTTTTGTAGATTTTTTTTAACCGGATGGTGTTAGTTTTTTTTTCGATCCGGTCTGCAGTCCGAAGTGTCGTTCTGCCGTAGGGAGGGAGGTGGACGATTACCTTGGGAACTTATTAGGTGTAAGATGAATCCAAACAGGGTCTAATGAAGGATGATTTCCAAACAGGGCCTAACGAAGGTTGATTTCTCACGGTTTTATACCTCACTAAAGTCACAGTCACGGGTACACCTACCAACAGGGTAGCAAAGGATGTCCTCCCTCCGCTCCAAATTATAATTCATTTGACTTTTTTTTGACCTTAAGTTTGACCGTTCGTCTAATTCAAAAAATTTATACAAACATAGTCAAATTTAAATCATTCTTGAAGAGCTTTTGTTAATAAAGCAAGCCACAACAAAAAAAAATGATATTTAGCATAAATTTTTGAATAAAACGAGTGGTCAAACTATGGGTAAAAAAGTCAAACGAACAATAATTTGGAACGGATTTAGTACATTATATTATCGCGGTGTTCGATCAACAATGAAATTTCTGCTGGCACACAAATGGTAATGGTACAACTTTTTATATTAGGTACTTCCCCACGGACGGTTCTATACATATAAAGGCGTTCTTATTATAATTGACATCTAGTTACAGATATGTGGTGATTACTGTACAGCACCGTTGTAATTAAGGATTTTGAGCTAAAAATACAAATTAACACACAGTATATATATGTTTCGTACATTTGGCAAATGACATTGCAATGTGGAATCCATGGTCACTGGTCAGGTTATTCTATGGGAGCATTAAAACTATTATAGAGTGTGCAACAACAATTTCTTCACATCATCAGGTACTTCGAACCTTGCTGAATGAGCTTATCCACTACAATGTTGTAGGCCTTCTCAGTAGGATGGAAGCCGTCCCAGAAAATATAATCAATTGCATTTGGACATGCACTGTGATATGCAATGAATACGGCGGCATTTAACACTGTGCTACCACAGCAACCTTCGCTGACATCCTTGAAACCTGTAAAAATGTGGCTCATTCTTTAGTAGTGTAGAAATGATCGTAAGAGCAAGCTCAGAAATAAAGTATTTGAGTGTAAGTCGAGTTGTAATAGTCAAGCTATATAATAGTTTTCTCTATTTATCTATAAAAACTTTTTTTATTGTTGTTTTTATCAATGTTACATCTTCTCTTTCATAATCCTCTTCATATTCACTTGATATGTAGGCCTACCACTGTATAGGCTCGTATGCTTATCTTACTGCTTGCATGAGAGCCGAGCTCTCTTCTCTCTCCTTTCTTCTCTCCTTCACATATGCAAAAATGTTGACTAGCTTCGCTATAAAACTATTATTGTACTTGATCTGACGAGAACATGCCAACTAAATGTTGGAAAATCCTCGTCATGAGTGGGCATTGAGGAGAGTAATTGCTCCTAGAGCAGGGTCACACATCATCGGTGTAGTTCAAGAAAGTGGACCAATCTTACGTGCATATAGTATTTGTAACTTGACTTGCAATAGAAGGGATGAGAAAATAGTTGTTCAGTTCAGCTCCTTC